ACAAAGATGTCTAACGAGTCCTTATAAGGCAACATTATAAGGGCCTTATAAGACAATATCAACAGGGTCCTATATAGAGCAATATTGATAGGACTTTATAAGGAAATATTTTTATTATTGCTAAGAAATTTAGACTCATTTCTTTATTTTTTTTACAACCTCGTTAGTGTACAAGAATTTTTTATTTTAAAAGTGTAGCATACTTTATACAATAAAATATAGCATATTCTTTATACATAAAAATCCTGCTACTGTTTTTGCTTGAAGTTTGCTGCATTTCAAAACGAAGGAAATACTAGAAAAATCCTTGAAAAAGACTAATGAATATGGCAACTAATAAAACTAATAAAATTTGTTTTTAATTGCGGTACAATTAAAAAATCTTTGAAAGAACCAGACAGAGGGTACCTACTAAAACAGTACTAAACTATGACAATCTTATTAATTTTCTATAACAAAACTTGATTTTGTACGTTTAAAGCATCCTTAAAAGATCCTTCTAAGGTCCACATCAGTTTTCCATGTTAAAGTGTTATTTTGTAAAATTTAAGGCATCCCTAAGAAATCCTTCTAAGGCTCTTCTCAATTTTCCCTATCAAAATCTTATTTATTAAATCTAAGGCATCCGCAATAAATCCATCTAAGGCCTTCATTAGTAGTTTTCTTTATCAAAACCTTATTTCGTAAAATCTAAGTTATCTCTAAAAGATCCATTTCGGAGTCTGATATCGCAATAAGAAGGCATCACTTTTTAGGACATCCTACTTTCAATCTTATCGGAGCCTAATGCTTCATGAGGATGGTCCTACTAATTTTTTGCTCGAAATAGTGTAGACGAAATGCGCCTCTCTCTCTCTGTCTCTCTTTCTCCCTGCGAATAAGTCGAATGCCGGGAAGATACTTTTCCTCGTCTCACGTGGAATCTGCGCGATTCACGGCGCAGTTTCCGCACACACACACACACACACACACACACACACGAGATCTCTCGGACGAGAGAGACAGAGGCCGGGAGAGTTGAAAGTTGCACAGGCCGCTCGTCGAGATGGTATAATGCGAGCGCGGCGCGGCGCTCCCATGTTTGACGTATAAACACAGGCATCTCCCTCGAATCGACTTAATTAACTGTTACCGCAGTTACCGACATGCCGCATTGTGTCACTTATCATACAGATAATGCGGATACGCGCGCGCGCGCGCGCGCTTGCGAGTACGTGCACGCGCGGCGTAATAGGACCGCCGTCTCCCCGGGCTGCGCGCGGACGAGATAAAAGCCGCCTCTGCATTTTCTAATTACCGGAGCGACAGTGTAAACGCCAAATCGGCGGCCGCGCCGGGACCCCGCCGCCGGTTTAATCGCCGCGTCGAAATCTAGCCCGCGTACGCGGGGCGATACCGCTTTCTCTTTTTCTCTCCTCTCTCTCTCTCTCTCTCTCGCATTATCTTCATACACGCTCCAGAGAAGGTGGGGAGAACAGAGGGAAAGAAGCGAACAAAAACGGAGAGACGGCGGAGGGGTGGCGGACGAATAGCGGATGATACGCCGCGCGTATCCAGCGACCCGTCAAAAATGTGGGACAGAGTTCGCCCCGCGGTCCCTCTTTATTCCTCCCTCCTCCTCCTCCTCTCGCTTTTTTTTTCCACTGCAAATAGCCCGCATGCATCACGCGGATCCCGGGCTCCCGTTTACAAGGGAGCCAGAGTTCTGGAAATGATGGCCTCCGCGCGGCGAAGAAGAAAGGCAGGAGCGCGCGCGCGCGCGCGCGACGTGTATCGCGGAGGGATATGCGCGTATATAACGCTATTTATCCTCTCGTCTCTGTCCACGGGAGCGTTCTCTCCCCATTCTTCACCCTTCCCGCCCCGCGAGAGAGAATCTCGCTTTTCCCCGTCGAGGGGAAGAAAAAACACTCACCTCTTTTTCTTCGCTTCTCCTCCGCTCCCGTCGTTGCGCCTCTTCTCTGCTCCTCCTCGTCCTCTCTCTCTCTCTCTCTCCCTCTCCCTCCTTTGAGCATACCCGCGGTATATATCAACGAGGTCTCGTCACCCTGACCCAGAAATACACTTGGAGATGCCTCCGAAGTCGCCTCGGAGAAGGAAGTCGCCTACCTCGGGGGGTTGCTGAGGCCGCGCGGGCGACGCTCCTCCGCATAAATTCTCGGCGAGAGAGAGAGAGAGAGAGAGAGAGAGAGAGAGAGAGAGAGAGAGAGAGAGAGAGAGAGAGAGAGGAGGCCGGGAAAAGAAAAACGAGGAGCCCCGTCGGTGGGGAAACCTCTTTTAACGCTTCTTCAAGTCATAATAACGTCGGCCGACGGCGAGTTACCGTCAAGTCGCCTGAATCGCGCGCTCTCACCGTGAGAGACGTTTTACGTAGGGTCGCGATTTACGCGTTGTCATCGCGTCTCGTCTCGTCTCCTCTCATCTTGTCTCGTCTCAGCAACGCGAAAGCACCGCGAAACCGCTGCGAGGCGACCGACTCGCGTGAACGTGAGTCCTCGTCGAGATTGTATTAATAACCGCGTCCGCAAGCCGATAGGGAATCTGTGATCGGAGTCAGGTCGACATCGTGTGGGAAGCAACGATCGATTTGATGCTTCTGAAAGGATAAGCAATCAGGAAATATCAGCCGCGACTAATCTAGTGCCAAAAATATTCGAATAAAATTTTCTAACAATATTCCACTACTCTCTCAGAATTATCTGTACAATATAATTGCATGTTTATATGGTAACAAATTAATTATATCTGTTCCAAACTAATCCAGCTGCAATGTAGTCGCTTTATCTTCTAATTTTAAACATGTACGTAAAAAAAAGATTAAGTTACCAGATTATTGATCATCATGCAGATCAGGAATATAAGCAAAAATTAGAGCAGCTCATAAATATTAAATTATAATTTTACTCTTAGAAATTATATGTATGTACCTGTTAGTCTATTTCGCTATTTTTTTTTTTGCCAACATTGTCTCTCCTCTGAATAGCTGTATTCAGATTGATGAGCGCATGAATTTGACGCACTTTTTCAAAAATGTTATTTTGTATTTTTTTTTTTGTTTCTTTACAAGACAATTCGTTTCACCTGCTCGCCTGACTAATTTCAATCCTAATCGAAATCGCGTTCCTTATTGTAGATTGATATTTAACTTTAAATCAAAATTACTCGAATACAATTTCACCTTTTCAAGATATTTTGTTTTACATCGCTACATTTTTTCCACGGTAAGATGAAACGAACGTTGAATACTTTGACAGGGACGTAGTTACAATGTTGCGCGACGCCCGAGGCGCCATGTTACCAGCGAATAGCATCGATCCACGTCCGTGGATCACTTGTCGCTTGTTGTGCTAGGTCAGTGCTGCCCGCTTAAACCGGCGTGCGCGTCAAACTTCCTTCGCAACTCTGCTTTGCTTAAGAGGGACTGGAGGAGGGCTCAGATTGCTGAAAAATCGTGCTTGTTTTTCATAATATTACGAACTGAATAAATGTGCAAGAATGAAAATTTTAGGTACATAGTTATACAACATATGAAGAGTAGAAAAATTTTGCTTATTAATAAATACTCGTATAAATATACGATATATATAGTTGAAATATACTCTCCTTTTTTTTTTCTTTTTTTTTTTAAAGTTATCGTTTTTGCAGTAATATCTCGGCTCTCGGTGGTCCGATCAGAGCTAGCTAGAATTTTAGCTACAAATCTTGAGGAGGCTTATCATTATCCGGCGAACCATTAGAAAAAAAAATCGAACAAAATTAACAAAATGGCAGCCATTATTAGGCTAAAATTCAAATTTTTAAGTTCTTTTACGATAAAAAAATTAATATCTCGAAATGAAATACTTTGACGGAGTTGTCCATGGTTCACCTGAGAGCCACGTGAACAAATATTATTGCTTCAAAATTTCAAATCGATACGAAGCACAGTTTCGGAGAAATTACTGCAAAAAGCTGAACAATAAATCTTCGAGAATAACGCGTTTAAAATTTAAGTCACAAAATCATTATCAAAAACAAGCACGATTTTTCAGTAATCTGACCCTCCAATCCCCTTAAAGCTGTGTCCATAAGTCCCTGAGGAAAATTATTGTATAGTTACTTATGTTACACCAGATTAAATTTTCATCAGTTATCCGATGTATAATTGCGAGTGTTTCAAATCAAAACTGCCTGCCTGTATTTGTCGAATATCGAAAATCCGGCAACTGCTAATGGGCTACAAGACCGATCGTGAAGCTCTACACGGGGCGGAGACACGTTCCAGCACTTTAAGAATTGTTTGCTCGAGACTCCGTCGCGGGGCATAAATTTTAATTCCCCGCCGGGGTGGATATTGCTATGGGAAAACTTCGCTCCCGCCCTACCTACTCTGATTGTAATGTCGTTTCCGGTAAAATTGTTTGGAGAAGCCGTCTCTTTACGGCCTCCCTTAATGCCTGGAATCATTTTCGTATTTACGACCATTTCTCGGAGCGTCTTGTCGCTTTTACGCCCGAAAAGTTTTTACTGTTTGTCAGCGCGCGCTGCTCTTACGCCGTTACACTCGCGCAACAATAACACAAGCGCAGAGAGAAAGAGAGAGAGAGAGAGAGAGAGAGAGAGATCGTTATTATCCTATTTTAAAAAGACATGTTTTTCAATGTTATCTCGTTCTGCGACGTTGTTTGGCCTTCTTTTTTGCAAAGGAGTTAATATATAATACGTTAATATTAATAGGGAACGTTGAGCTGACGAATAGATAGCGTAAACGATCAGAACAGTCCTCGACGCGAGATTAAGCGCGTGACGTTGAATTTTCCCGAATCTGTCAAAGGATGCGCGCGTTACCTCGCTCTCGTACAGTCATCGTGTTAGGATAATTCTCAAAGCCTGGAATTCCAAGCGCGATTCTTAGTTTTTATCAGTTCGAGACACAAATACACAGTCTCGGCTTTCCGCATTCCTAATGTGTACTTGGACCTTGCGGTCTAACTAACCGGAAAACTTGCCTTTTGTTTCAGAAGAGAACCCGTCAGCACTTGCGGTGACTGCGACACCCGGAAGATGCAGTTTCGGTGGATGCGACCGCTGCACCGGAGGATCCGGTTCGGGCCCAGCAGGGTCGGCTCGAAGGTGAGTTTAGAAAGAAGATTTCCAGATTTTTAAACTCCAGATCTTTTGTATTTCTGTACACGATATAAAACTTTGTATAAAATATTAATATTGAAATATTAATTAAAATATTAATCGAAAGGTTTTAGCCGTCGTTCATTGTTTATTGGAAAGTTATTGACAAAAAAAGTTGTAGGAATGTAACGTAATTTTTCGAAACAATATACATTAAACAATGTTAAAGAGTACTTATAAGCGGCAGAGAGGCTGCGCCTTTCCCTCGCACCCCCTCTCCGAACAAATCCTAACCTAACCTACAACTTATTGGATCTTTATATATTTTTGGACATTGTTGAACAAGTTCTCTTAAGATCTATCACCTAACCCAAAAATATTTTTGCTTCCAGAACCGTAAGCGGAACGCGGCCGACCCTGAGTTCCCGCTAATTGGTGAGTCAGAAGCAAAGATTTTGGTGATGGGTTTACATTAATCCTGGCGTCAACCTTAAAAACGACCACCGCGTGAAAGTCGCGTATCTTGACAACGAGAAATCGCTAGAAAGCATCCAGCGATTAATGGACGATAGCACGCACGTATCTCCTCCTCCGTGCTGTGTCCAGCCATTTCGAAATAAAGCTGCTATTTTAATCACTTTCTAGTTGAAACGTCAAACTTCCAATTTCAAGGTCGACTCGATCCACCGACCATCAGTCGATCTCGCGTTTCAAATAAACATCAGATCCTGCGCCCGCGGAATAGCCGCGACCGCGCTGCGTGCATCCCGCCGTTACACACATCGGTTTATGTACGAAAGGTGTTAAGAAGCGCGAAAGGGCGCCATCAGCCTCTCCTCTCGCTCACTTTAACGCTGAGACGCGCGAGAAGAGCACGGGCGTGCTTTCCCCGCGGGAACGACTTTTCGCACTTCGTCGACGACGTCGGGGACGACGCTGATGACATCGGTCGACATCGTCATCGCCGACGCGGTCGGAAGAAACGTCGCCTCGGCGCGCGGGAGCAAACGTAAACACGGCCCTCTTATCGTCGCAATTCAAAACACCGCGGGAAACGACACTTCGCCGCAGTCGAGAGTTCTCCACGACTCGCACGGGGGCAAAAATAACGTCGGAATAGGGGAAGGAGGGGGGGGGAGTTTGGTTTCCGAAGTTGAATAGAAGGACAGGAGGGAGGACAGGGGGCAGAATTACGAGAGAGACGACACCCGGCGAGCGACGACGCTCCTCCGATCGAAAATATTTCTCCAAGCTCCTCTAAATTATTCGCGCACCCATGCCGAGAGGATTTTTCTATGGGACTCGTTATTTCGGGCAGATTGCCGGCGCCTAGGGAGAAGGCGGGAGGGCGGAGAACCGAGAGAGCGGGCGGGCGGGGGGGGGAGAATAAGAAAAAAGAAAGATGGGCGAAGGGGGCAACGAACGGCGAGAAAAAGCGACTCAGGTGGAGCTCGGAGGGATTAATAGTTGATTCTCGCGCGCGAACGCGATTGAGGACCGGGGAATCCGACGAAAGTTCGCCGCCGACACCTGCGACAAAGCCCGTCCATTCGTCGCCGACGCCGGCGACGCCGTGCGTCGTCGCCGGGAGCGCTCTCTTAAGCGCGATGGGAACTTTCTCAATCGAGTTACCGGCGAGAGTATCGCCCGATATCCCCATCAACGTCCGCATCTCTCAACGTACTTCGCCCTTATCCCTCACCCCCCACCCCCTCCCCTCCGCTCTCCGCGCAACCACCATATTTTTAATAGCCATTGTGCGACGCTAAAGTAGACTCGGCGAGCGAGCGAGCTTTCTTCCGCGACGGGGCGAGAGCTCGTATCGGAATAATTAATCCTCGAGACCTCGAACGGCGCGGCGCGGCGCCGGGAAGAAGAAGCGGCGGCGGCGGCGGAGTGCTATCGAGCATGGCCGCCATAGAGAAAACAAATTCAATTTAATACTGAGTGCAGAGTGCTACCCGCGCGCGCCGGCATCTCGCCGAGAGATCTACGGCGAGACTCGCTCCGTGAGACGCGCTCCGGATCCGCGGCGGCCGGGGGTGTTGCTAGAAAGGGGGACAGAGCGAGAGAGAATGAGCCGGGGGCGGAGGGGGGAGCCGCGAAAACGCGCGAAGATATTGATTTTCCATTTCTTAGGCTTATAGACCATCGCGGCGCGGTGCGTGCGGCTAGGAAAAAAAGAAGGCCCGCCGACACCCACTCTTGGCCCCGTGTCTGCCCGCCCCCTACCCCCCTGCCGCCGCACGGGCCATTACTCGGCTGTAACCCTTCTTTAAGCGCGGCTCGCCTGCAGACCCCCAGACTCGGTCACGCCCAGCGCTATCTTAACGTCCGTTTTCGGGCTTTCGGTATTTTTAGCGCCACGAATACGCGCGGATAATATACCTGAGGTGCAAGAGCAAGCGAAAGAGAAAGGGAGAAAGCGAAAGGGAGGGGGCGCGCGCGCGCGCGGTCTCCGGCTGATCTATGGCTGCTTCGGGGAACGAGATGGGGCGGCGAGGGAGGAGAGGAGGAGGATTCCACTAACGGTGGAATCGCCGGACGAGGACTCCGACTCCCCGGTATAAAGATAGTCATCTCTCGCGCAAGTCGGCAGCCTTAACGGCGGCGCTGCGTTATGCGCGGCACGCAGCGCGCTCTTAACGGCGAATGGACCTCGTCGCCGTAACGCTGCGCTCGACCTCCCCCGCAGAATTTCCTGCTGGTAACGCCGACATGGCGGCTCGCGCGAGACACGCGTTGCTCCGCTAAGTATATGTTCCGCGTCGCGTGCCGAAATCATGGCTTTGCTCGCCGCGATCGCGGCCCGATAAGCCGCGCGCGGCTATTCGCACGTGCTCGCGAGACGACGCGACGCGACGCGAGACCCGCATTAACTCGAATGAAAAAATTAATGGGCTCTGGTAAGGGCCTGCTTTTTTTCCCCCTAACATTAATCGGGCCCTGCGAGATGCGTAACAAATGGTTGAGCGGGTCCTTATAAGGCAATATTATGAGAGCTTTATAAAGCAATATCAATCAAGGGCCTTGTAAGATCAGAGTCAGATTAATTAAGGGGCCTTATAGGGAAATATTTTTATTATTGCTTGAGCAAAAATATTCGTTCTTTTCATTCCAAGAAATTTAGACTGCAATTTTTTACTTCTTTACAACCTTGTTACAACCAGAATTTTTTTATTTTAAAAATACAGCATACTTTACACGATAAAATATAGCATTCTTTACACACAAAAATCCTGCTACTGTTTTGATGAAAATTTGCTGCATCTCGAAACGAAGGCAATACTAGAAAAATCCTTGGAAGCGACCAATGAATACGGCAGCAAATAAAACTAGTAAATTTTGCTTTTAATTATTAGGCATAATTGGAAGATCTTTAAAAGAACCAGATAGAGCGTACCTACTAAAACAATACTAACTTATGATAATTTTATTACACGCTTCAGATCTTATTAATTTTCAATACCTAACAAAACTTGATTTTGTATCTCCAAAGCTTCCTGTTAAAAGATCCTTCCAAGTCCTACATCAATTTTCCACGTTAAAACGTTTCGTATTATCGTATTTCGTAAAATCTAAGGTATTTCTAAAAGATCCATCTCGGGGCCTGATGTGATAATAATGAGGCATCCCTTTTTAGGACCTATCCTACTTTCAGTCTTATGCTACGGGGCCTTATGCTTCTTCATGAGGATGGCCCTAATAATTTTCTGCTCGGATAGTAGCACGGGAATTTTATTTAAAAAAATATCACAGAGTAAGTTTGTTTTATTCTTCTAATATTTCACAAAGTGGGATGAAAAAATTGGGATGAAAAATCGTTAGCTCTTTCCTTCAGCAGCCGACTAAGAGAGAGAAGGAGGAGCAGGGAAATAAAGATGGAATCAGCGGGAAGGCCGACGCGGTGCGAAAGTAAGATGAAACTCGGTCGCGGTAGAAGAAAAGGAGCACCTGAAGCGCGCTTCCGCGCGAGAGAGTCCACAAGTTCCGGTCGCCCGAGTGGGTTTTCGCGTCGTATTTGGTTCGCATCAGTCGGACGTGTTTTTCCTCGTTTCGCGCGCGCATCGGGGCAGGGGGGAGGCGCTTGATCGTTTGAAGGATTTTTCAGCGATAGATCGGCGCCCGTCGAATGGAGAACGCACAGCCCATATGTGTCGCTCGTTCGCTCTCGTTGCCGTACACCGCGTGCAGCCGCTTTTAAACGCCCCGGCACAGAGCGCGCGTGTTCCCGCGCGTATCGCAAACACGCCCGATTTCCGCGTACGCGAATTTTTCCCCCGGGACCCCCTCCCCCCCCCCGCTCGACGAAACGGCTTCGCCCGCCTGCGCTCTGGGCGAGCTCCGGGAACAGCCGAAACACCGCCGCGCGCCGTCACTCCGCGGTGCACGCTAAAAGCCGCCCGTATGAATTATCGCGCGCATATTGTTCCCGCCTGGCGACGCGCGGCGCGACGCGCGAGCACTCAAAGGAAACGCGTCGCGCAAAGTCTGTGACGAACCGTCGCTCGGACGCCCGCGACGTCGTTGTCGTCGGTGTGGACAATACGGGCAGCGGCGGAGGTCCTTTGCCCCGGGACAAGACAACAGAATCGAGCCGTAAAACGCGACTGCGAGCGTGCTCTGCAGTCTCCAACACCGCGAGAGACAGAGAGAGAGAGAGAGAGAGAGATCAGTTTATTTACGGAGCTTTGCCCCTTAAAGAACTAACCAGGTTACGTTACATTATATAGAAATAAAATATTAACAAATAACAACAAAAATATATATATATATATATAAAAATACATAAAATGCATGAAGAGAGAGGGAGAGAGAGAGAGAGAGAGAGAGATATCAATTTATTCGTCCTAGGGCTATGCCGGTAAAACGCTAACCAAATTACATTACATTATGCATTGTTATAAATAAAATATCAACAAGTGACAAAAATATACGTGAAAATAGATACACAGAGAGAGAGAGAGAGAGAGAGAGAGAGAGAGAGAGAGAGAGAGAGAGCGAGATGGGGAGGGGAGGCTGCCTCGCGCCTCCGTCGCTCTTTCTCGGAGCGCGTTGCCGCGCGGTGACGATCGCGCCGCGAGAAATCGCGGCAACAAACGCGAGCAGCCACTTGGGTGATTTACGAGGGCGCTGAGCGTGCCGGGCTGGTAATGGGCCGATAGAGCCCCAGACCCCGGCCGGGCTGGCTCAAAGTCTGGCGTCGCGCGACCGTGAAACGCCTGCGACGGAGCCGCTTGAAAAACCGCCGCGAAGGAGCACATCGCTATCGGTCTTGGCACGCTCGAACGAGCCCGCGCGCGCATCCTGCTTCGCCCGCACGTGGGAGCGAGCGGGCTGCCGTAAAAGAGGCGTGCCGCCGCGAGTTTCCATCGCCGACGCGATTTTGGGTCCGCTATCTTTGGCCGAGGTACACGCGGCCGGCGGCTTTGATT